GAAATTCTTATAAGAAAACTACTATGATGAAAGAATTTTGTAATTCACAAATTCCATCTATTACATATTTGAAGTTAAAATTAGATACACCTATCAGATGGAACAGCTCATATTCTATGATAGAACGAGCAATACAAATGAGAAAAGCTATAGATCATGTCGTTATTAATAGTTATGATATATCTATTATTCAAGAGAAACAACTTAGTGAAGTATTTATTTATATTTAAATCTAATTTTTATTTTTTAATATAGGATGAATGGACCGCCTTAGAAAGAATACATTTAAACTTAAAAACATTTTATGATTTTACTGTTGCCATATCAGGAGAAACATATCCTACACTTAATCTGGTCATCCCCTTTTATAATTCATTAATTGAGCACCTAAGTCTCTTTGATAATACGCTTATAAACGCAATTAATGCGCAACAAAAAATAGTATCATATTATAATTTAACAGATTTCCAAACAATTATATCTGCAATATTAGATCCAAGACTTAAACTGGAATTTTTTGAGTGCCTACCTATATCTTATAATATAAACGTTACAACTATATTTAATAATTTTGAGAAAATGTTTGATGAATATAAAATTAAATATGATGTATCAAAAAGTAAACCTTTAATACAATCAAATATGGATGCCTTTTTTAACAGAATGTTATGCCAATTTCTGAAATTGACACATATTTGAAAGAAGTGAGAATAACGTCAAATAAAAACCCACTAGAATGGTGGAAACTACATGGAGACCGTTTTCCCGTGTTATCTAAAATGGCGAGGAACATATTGTCGATACAGGGATCTTCAACCCCATGTGAGCGACTCTTTTCTGTTGGAGCTCATATGGTTATAAAATACAGAATGTCGTTAAAGGAGGAAACAATCCGAAAAACTTTATGTTTGAAAAATTGGCTGTTGTCAGATTTATCTTCTACATTATAGATATGAATATTATATTGATTTTTCCACATTGTATATAAATATATTATATATGTATGCTTCTATTTTGTCTCACTAATAAAATTTGTTTGTCTTTATCCTTAGTTAAATTTTACAAAATAAATTTTATAATAGATCTTTTTTAATTCATGGTAAATAAAATTTTCGAATCGAATATTCGACGAATCAAATCGAATAATCATTTTATTATTCATACGAATACGAATAATAAATTATTCGATTTAAACGAATACGAATAATAAATTATTCGATTTAAACGAATACGAATAATTCTATTATTCGATTCGTATTTTTGTAGGTATAAACATAAATATAAATATTTTCATGTTTATTGAAAAATGTAGATTTTTCAAAAATTAGTATACATAAAGTTATAATACTTTATTGTCAAATCAGAACGTCATTACGAGGCCCCTTTTATTGGACACCCTTTTCCATCACTTCTAGCCAGATATAGTGGTACGGGGATATGATATACAGTGAAAGCATGATTAATGTGGGGCCCTCAAAAAATGGCTTATTAAAATTTAGCCAGTCTTTAGCAATCGTGAAAAAAAATATATATATAATAATTTTACTCAGAACTTATACAAAACTATCAAATAAAAAAAACTTCCTATTCATTTCAAGAATAAATATCACTTTTTATATAATAAGCATTGATAAAAAGTATAATATAGTAAAATATGTTTCAAAAATTAATACATAGATAAAATATACCATAAATTCTTAGAATTGCATCTTTTTATGAATAATTTAATATTATGAATTTTATATCTTGGAGCTTTATAGTCCTATTTTTTTTCAAAAAAAAATTATAATTTTTTATTTCTTGTAAACTGGAATTATAGACATTATAAAGAATATAAATTTTAATTAAAAATTCCGAGATAGCGGACAGGAGTGTTCTATCTATTTGTACCTAATTATTGTATTTAAAAAGGTCTGATAAATCGGCGCTCACATCATCGCCGTGCAGAGACTTTTGGCGGCCCCTTAAAAAAGCATAATTTATCTAAGCTATTTTTCGTAAGAGATTAATTACTACTTTGAATTTTTAAAGATTCTCATATATTACATCATCCGCTAAGGCAGACCCAGACATGCTTAAAACAGGTGATGAAAAATTTCCTTGATAATGTTATTTTGAGTATCTATGAATCACGGGCACAATGACATCTGCTCAATGCCAGTAATTTGTGGTCTCATCTGCCAAAATTGAGAAGCATGGCGCAGAATTCATTTCAGTAATCAATTTTTCTAAAATGATATTATGCAAATATCAATTTTTTTTTGAATCCTGGGGCTAAGATATGTAGCATTTTTATTGCTACTATTAAAACTCTTCATTAATGCAGAATCCCTTAATGCTTTAAATTTTACATGACCACGAAAATTGCCTTCATTATTATTATGATTGAAATTCACTTCCTGAATCCAAATGGCCACTTAATGCTAGGCCCTGCAATCCACAATATAGAATATCCTCAATAGTTAAATTGATCTTACACGTATTTTCTTGTGCTATTATATTTGTCAATATGTGATGAAATGGGAATAATTCTTTTGAAGATATCATCACTTCATAAGCTTTTGTGATAATTTGTTTTTTGATGATTGTCAAGGATTTCTTCAGCATTGCTTGTTGAATGGAGTCTTAACATGACTGTTAAGCTTAACTAAATTTTCTCCAATATATCTTGGGCCAAACAAGACACATATTTTGGAATAAGTTCTATTATATCGGATAGAGTATGCTAGCTATAACCATCTAGTAATAGATGTTTTGAAATTTTAACTTTCGATTAGCACAAAAAGTTTGTGGATATTGAAAATTGTGGGATGGAATATAAATCAATTAATAAATAAAATATTTATTATAAGTATCTCTAATACCTTTTTAAGAAGCATATGTCTTTCTACTAGGCTAATATTATCTTTATCCAAAAAATTGACTATATCATATAGATGATCATTGTACTCTAGTTTTGTATAAGGCTTTTAGTTATAAGTTTTTGAATATAATATTGAGATGTGAACATTATCATCATTAAAATTATTTTTTAAAAAAATATTGTTTTATTGTTGCCCTATCTTTTTTTCTACTAAATTAAATACTAAACTATTATTATCCTCTTGTGTATCATTTGTATTCTTGATTTTTTACTTTTCCATCCTTACTCTTACCAGGTTTTTCATAATAATCAGATAAATATATTTATCAATTGATTTCATTACATAATTAAATCCATTTTTAAAGTAGGTGTTTCAAAAAAATTAAACCTCCATAAGTACATAAAAATGAAAAATTATTTATTAAATATCAACCAAATTACTTTAAATGCTACCCATGAAAATTAATTAACTATCCAAAAATTTGAATTGTCTGCAAATGTTCTATCTACTGCTCATTTAATTAAAATATTGCCCATTTTGATAAATTTTACTGCACATATTGTTGTTAAACGGCTTTATTTGAGTCGATTTCTTAAAAACGACTAACTCAATATTTTACCCAGGAAAATATAGCTCCTCGAGATTTCGCTAATAGATGTCCAAACTCCAAACCTTTGATCTGCGAACAAAATCTTTAAGCTCGCTTAATATTTTTCTAGACAAAATAATGAGTTAGCCCTTTTTAAAAATCGGCTCAAATTGAGCCTTTTAACAACACTAACCGCATATTTCTCATTAAAAAACTGCCCAAATATTTATTTAGTATAACTAACCTTTTGATGGCTCTATATTCAGACTCTCAATTATATCATCAATTACTTCCAACTATTCTTTTATTATTTGTACTTATTATGCGAGGGATTTTAATTATGAGTAAATATTAAAATGTTTAAAAATTATCTTTTTATACATTCTTGCTTTTTGTAAGATGACTAGGATTCTGAATTTCATCATCATCATATTATGTGTAAAAAAATTTCTTATATCCTTAATTATTTGACTAAAAATTTGAAAATGGTTGAGAAATATTATGCCACTAGAAATTTGAAAATAATAAATAAATATTACGCCAAGGAAAACTTGAAATCGAAATTAAGTGATAAAATAACTTAGTAAATGAATGTGATAAATAAATGAAATTTAATATATATTTAATAAGAAAGAGATAGGAATAAATATTATAAAATATAAATTAATATAAAAATATTTTTGAAAAATATATCAGGCTGTTTGAAAAATTCTTAGGACAATTAATAAATTTGAAAGGGTTTCAAAAGGATCTTAATTCTATTAATTTCAATAATATTTCCAGCATGTCTCTTTGCAGTTGAATTTTTCTTCCATAAGCAAAACATGTCATTTACATTCTATCGTGTGATTCAGTTTCAGACACTTTCAAATTATTTTTTGTTCACAAAAGATTGGCGCTTATGCATCCTTATAGAGATCAACAATGCCCAGCCTGGTCCGGGTAACGCCTGAAAAATAATTATTTGGGTCGGGCAGAGTAAAAAGTAGATTGAGCGTTTTAATATTATACAAATAAATCACCGTTATTTGACTAGCAGCTCTTATTGGGGTTGAGATATGAGAAGGTTAGGGTTGATCGTAGACAGGACTAATATTTTTTTCTGAAACAAACCTCTAAGGTTAAAAATAGTGTTTAATTATATTTATAAAAAATTTTTGATAAAATTTGGATGTTGTTTAGCAAATTACCATATGGTATCTTAATGGGTCTTTAATACTAGCCTAAAATTCTGGAACTCGTATTATGAAATACCTTAATTTCCGACAATTATACCCATGAAGAGGAAGGGGAAAAAAATGAACATTACAGCAAAAATATTCTAACAGATCCAATAATTTTTTCCAAATTAATGTATTTATAAAATATATCGTTTGAGTTTTAGGAACTATATTATCTGAAATATAGGTTTTGTATTATAAAAAAACAATTATCGTTTTTTTATAAAAAAATTAATATTGTTTAATATTTTATTTGTTATATATATATTTTTAGTTTACAAGAATTGTAGCCAGAAATAAATAAATGCAGATAAAGAGTATAATATTTTAAAATAGTTTCCCAGGAGTGCGGACAGGACTTATCGTTATAGCGTCCATTTGTACCGAATTATTACATTTAAAAGCGTCTAGCAGAGCGTCGTATACATCCTCCGGGGTTAAATGTAATTTTCGTAGAAAAGCTTGCTTGAAATCACCTTGACTGATAATTACAATATTTTAAGAGATATATATATAGCAATTTGTGATAGATATTTAAACAAAAATTTTTTTGCTCAAGTTAAAAAAAAATTGAATACAAAAAGGAATTTATAAAATTTATGGTCAATGTTTATGCAAGATTTTATGATCTAAAGTCTTATTAGGAATCCTTTGATATTTGTTGAACTGATTATCTAATCTAGTTATCATTATTAAGATTTATTATCTTAGGCTGAGAGAGCCGTCTACCTTATATTAAATCCATCTAAATCTTTTAAGCCTTTAAAAAATTGATCATTGCAGAGCCGGACCGTATATTTTTTTAGTGTTTCAATGTGCTCCTATTCAAGAAAAAAAAATAGAAAGAGAGAAAGAAGTTCATGACAATTTAAATATTTTAATTCTCGTCTCATGGTGATGCCCAAGAAATATAACAAAATAAAGGGCTAATGCTAACCGTCGACTAGTTTGAAAAAAATATTATATTTAAATATATAACTTAAAATTAAGATCATCGTTTGATTCATTGATTGGTTAGAAAAATAGAGCTAGCAATATTAAACTTCTCAGCCAAAAAATGGGACTTGACGCCATATCAGAAAATACAAGGCAGGTGTCTTAACTGCTACACTAAATAACTATACTTGTTCATAAATTATGTTTGATGTTTATTAAATCATGCTTATTCCGAGATAGGGGAAGCATGCGGATTAGCGATCCCCGAAGCCGCAAAATTATGTTTTTTTAATTGCCGCCAAATTTTGGCTATCCTGTGCATTCATTATCATTTCCTTTCCTTCTAATTGTGATAGATTTCCCTCCTTCCTTCCTTTTTTGCTAATTTGAATTTCCTTTCCTGATGGCTTAGTTAAATTGAGATTTTTATAGGACTGACAAAAGTTCTTTTTTGCCCCCAGCCATTAAATGTTTTGGCACTGCCCTGTATCAAATATTCTACTTTCTGACTGATATGGATTTAACATTAATTTGATTTAATATTAAATTGCATGATAATAAATAAAAACCTATAGTAAATTTATTCTTAAAATGTGAACCTTCATTCTGGATATTATCAGTGAACTCGGTTTTAATAATACCCGGGTAGATAGTTACTATTCTTGTAGCTTTGGCATAAGAATGTTGCTGTACTTCCAGTCGTAAGCATTGAGTTATAGCTGTTAACGCATGTTTTGTCGCTATATACATGTGATTGTAAAAGACCGACTTGTTCATTTCGGTTAAATGAACACTCTGTCCTAATATGCTACTCACATTGACTATCAGTCCATCTTTCACGCCGGATTTGGCCATCAAGTTTATCGCTTCCTTAGAGCAAATGGACGTGCCCAGAATGTTCACTTCTAAGATATGTTTCCAGCCTTTATATATCCGGTCCTTTTCTTTCTCTTCCTTCTTTCCATCATAATTCCCCTCTTTGTCCTGAATAGGTAAAAAATAATCCAGAAAACCGCCACCTGCATTATTGACGCATGCGTGCAAAGTCTTGTATTTTTGTTCTATATACTTAAACAATTTGAGAATGTCATCAACTTTAGAAATATCGCATTTCACTGGGTCTATAAAACCGGCATTTCCAGGTTTGATTTTACAGTTCTTTAACGATTCCTAAGATTTAAAATATAAATTATTTAATTTATTTAAAAAAAAATTAAAATAACTGTTATCAGAGGCGGTTAGTAGGCAATATTTGATTTTTTAGCTAGTATATAACTAGTTGTTCTATCGTATATTCGCTCGCTCATTTCAATTTAGAAATATGATAAGAATCTCAAGTTGTTAGAGAATTCATATCAGTATGAAATAAATTGCATGGCATCACACTAAAATAATGTATAAATATAAAAACGCAATATACATTTAAAATGTTTATTTTTTTAAACAAAAAATGTCATTTTTTAAAAACCAAAAAATGTTACTTCATCCGATATTTTAATAAATGAGGATTTATATCTTTTTTTAAAAGCCAATTTAAATTTTATATACAGATCTGAGAAATGCGAGTGAACCTCTGTCGGCGAACTGGGCTACTTCAAAAATATTTCTATGGTTAGGCTAGCTAGAAATTTAGCATTTATTTTCACAAATTAGAATCAGTTAATGTTCAAAATCGATTTACAAGAGAAAGAAAGAACAAAAGAAAGAGCCTCTATATTTATCTAAATAATGGGAGAGAGGTTTTAGCCTTCTTTTTATCAAGATTTCGAGGATTAAATAATATTTTCCTTGACCAATATCCTTGATTTAGCCCAATTTTCGAAATTTTTGAACAACACTAATTTTTTTTGACGAGAGCCAGACCTAAAAACATTTAAAAAAATTATATTAACTTACCTTTTCCAATTGCGCCGATCTTTAAAACAAATACATTCTTATAAGAAATATTTTTTTTTAGAAAAATATAATTAAAAATATTTTTTCTAAATAAAATTTAATTTCGCATTTGAAATTTTAATAAATTTTTTAATGTAAAAACGACTTTAAAAATTGTTAAAAATTTTTTTCTTATGTAGGTGGATGGGGGGGGGGGGGGATTTTTTTAATAGAATAAATGTGAAAGATGATTATATACCTCTAATTCATTCATACGTATATCACAGGCTACAACAATCATCTCATATTTAGCCAAAGTATGAGCGATACATTTTCCCAATCCCTGTGAGGCCCCTGTTACCAAAGAAACCTTATTTTGCCACTTTTCCATTTATATTGAATAATATTGAAATTTTATTTTAAAAATTTTGAGTGAGATTAATTTATTTTTATTATAAGAAGTATATAAATATTTTTTTAAAATAAGGATATTCTTTTAAGAAAAAAAACATAGGTAGGAAAAAAATATTCCTAGAAATTATATTATTTTATATATAAATCAAATGAAATATTACAATAATATCAATAATTTTCCCAAAACTATCTGAAATTAACCACATAATTTTCAAGTAGTATCTAATCTAAACTCGAAGGTTTTAAGGCAAAATTATTATAGTTAAATTTATTTTAAATAAAAAAATATATATTTTTGCTAGTAGGTAAAATATCGAACATATTTATTTTTTGTCACATCATCCACAATATTAAATTAAATATAAATATTTTATACAAATTGAAGTGAGACTACAATGGTTCCTACACTTTCTGAGCGATAGAAGCAGAATACCCCCCCCCCCCCTTCCCCTGAAAATTACCCCTCCCCCTCAAAAAAATGTCTAATTTTGACACCCATAAATTTCAAAAATAATTTTTATTGCATCAATTTAATATATATATATAAATTAAATGTAAAAAAAATATATACATTAAAAATATTAATTCTAAATTAATAATTTACACAAATTAGGGGAAGAGAAAGCGAAAGAATTTATAATTTCATCAATATTTAATTGTTGTAATAAATTTTTTTCCAAAAAAATGGTTAAATTATTAAGAAACGAATCTTTCTTGCTATTATGAAGTCTTGTTTTAATTAATTTAATTTGGCTCACGACCCTTCGCAATCGCAGTACATGAGGAAGTAGGAATGGTTAATAAATATTTATAGAAAATTGTTAAATTAGAGAAATCAAACAAATTTAAAAGTAGACGCTAAGGTAAAATAAAAGAATAGTTTTTCCAGTTTGAATTAGTCTCAGAATTATCATCAGAAGAAGAATATCTATATAATTTATTAGTAAAAATATTTTAATTAAATAAATTAACAATTCTCAGAATCTGACAGAAGTCGTCTTATATCATAAACCATAAATCACTTGGCTATGGATAAACAATAAAAAAAATTAAATTTGGAACCCCACTCAAATTTTTAGAAACAGTTACTTTAACCCCCCTTCCGCCCCCGCTGTAGGGGCCACTGGGCATATTTATTTTTGGAGTATTTTTTTTCTAAAGATCAACGCACATCATCTACTATATATTTGTGGAAATTTAGTAAGGGTTTTTCGGCCTTGTCCGTATTTATTTCTACCCGGTCCAGGTCATTAAAATTAAAAAATATTTACTACAGGTTGCCTGTTCTATATTTGATGAAGGAAAAAGAAATAAATTTGCCTAATTAAGCGTTAAAAACTTATCAAAACTTCGGCCCGGCTAGTAAAAATAATATGCACAATATTTCCGGCCTGGCGGGCATCTTCCATGCTTCAAGCAGTGTTACGTCAATCATTAATATTATGTTTATCTCATCGAAGTATACAAGAAATAAATAATAAAGGAAATAGGAAAATTTATCTGATCGGGATTCGAATCGAATCCCTTTAAAAATATGGGATAGTTCAAACATATCCATTAACCAAGCCTCTTGCACATTCAGCGCCTACATGACAGGATTTTCACTGAATGCACCCCCCTCCCCCCTCAAAAACCATTGGCTACCCCCCCCCCCCCCCCCCCCCACCCCCTAAAAAATAACCACCACCTTCGGCTGTGATGTTTTCTCATATTAATTACACTCTTTTAATTATACTGGCACTCCTTTCATAAATTTTAAAAAGAATAATTTAAATTATTTTAGCTCTGCTCAAAATATTGTGAATATAAGTTATTTTTTAGATTATGAATTCAATTTAAAACCCCCTATTTGAATGCATTATTATAGCATATTGTTTGGCATTATGAGTTTGCACATTTAAAAGGATATCAAAAAGTATTTGGGAAATAATGTCTATGATTGTTTGCAATATATATATTTGGTCGATGATCAGAAATTTTATTGTATTTATAAGTCTATAATAAAAGTAATAATTTTTACAGCAATATATTTTATTCTATTTCATCTAAAAATTTAGTAGATAACCCCTCCCCCCCCCCCCCCCCCCCCCATGTAGACGCACATATTTGTATAAATATTTATAAAAAGAAGAAAGAGAAGAAGAAAAGAAAAAATGAAATATTTAAATAGGCTAAACGAGCGGGGGGATGGTCATGAATTCTATATGAATAAATTCTAGCTACGCCACTGAGTGTTTATAAAAAAAAATCTTATAATTTTATCCAAATTGCATATGTCCATTACGCGAGAAAATTTACAAGTTATTAAAAAGATTTTAGCAATTATCTATTTTATAATGAAAATAAATATCGTAAATCTGCAAATAAGGAACCCGGCCTTAACCTTAAAATGGTAAAAAGGGTCTACAAAATATATTTTTTATAAATTCAGGGCTGGCCGATTATTTAAAAAAAAATTATAGTCAAAAATTATATCAATAAACTTGTTTGATACAATTCACATTAACCCAAGGTTTAACAAAAAAATCTACAAATGAGCATTTGAAAATTATTTTCGCCAAAAGTTTTTGACCAAAATATTTTCGAAGATTTATTTTAAAAGAAGTTCAAAAGTTAATTGACAAAAATTAGGAATTTCATGAAAGATTTACTTTTTATGCATAAATATCACAAAATATTTACTTATAAAAGATTTTTTACAAAAAATTTTTGAAATTTTAGACAAAATTTGATAATTCTGTTTTGTCTCATAAAAAAAATCTTCAATATAAAAAATAACTCCGATTTTAAACATTAATTTGCTGCTCACTTTATAAATTTTCCATATTGAAACAATTAATAAAACCCAAATAAAAAATGTTAAAATAAATTCGGGTCGGAGGTGCCGCAAAATGATTAAAAATCTGTGCTGGGTTTTAAAATTAATAAATAATCGATCCACCAGGCCCAAGATAATTTTTTAAAAAAATTAGGCTTTTTTTTAAAAAATAAAATTTTTGGATGGATTTTAAAAATAAATTTAATTTCTGCGCCGATATGATAGGACCGTGGAAAATAAATACTATTTTACTATATTATTTAGAATACTCAATTTTTTTTATGAATATTTTAACGCCTATCAAGTGATATATTGTGTATAATAATAGGTCAATTAACCGTGATTTATGGTTTAGATTTTATGCGAGAACCCTTTTTCCTGACCCCCTTTTCGATCAATTCTAGCCTTGTGGTACGGGGATTTGTTATACAGGAGATCGGAAGCTAGCGCATGGATAAGCTAGGGTCCTCAAAAAATGGTTTTTTAAATTTGGCCAATCCTTACCAATTGGGATTAATATCATTATACATTTTTTTTTTTAAATAGTAGAGATAATTTTTCTCATATACACAATTATCAAATAAAAAAAATCTTATTCATTTCTAGAATTAATATCACTTTTTTATAAAAAGCATTGACAAGTATAATATAGTAATATTTATATTTCCAAAAAAAAAAAATTAAAATTGTTTACCCGTTAAAATATCCTATGAATTCGTAGAATTGTATCTTTTTACGAATAATTTAATATTATAAATTATATATCTTGGAGCTTTTAAAAAAATATAATTTCTGTAATATTGTTTTTTTTAAAAAAAAATTATAATTTTATATTTCTCGTAAACTGGAATTATGGACATTATAAAGAATTTTAATTTTAATTTAAAAAAAATCCAGGAGAGTGTAGAGGAGTGTTCCATCTACTTTTACATAATTATTATATTTAAAAGGTCTGGTTAATTGGGCTCACATCAGCGCCGTAACCAGATTATTGGCGGCCCAGGGAAAAAAATTATTTGGCGGCCCCTTAAAAAAACACAATTTATTTAAGCTTTTTTGATAATTTTTTGCAATGAGAACTAAAAGTATTAAATGAGTAACACACGTTATAAAAATGAATATAATTTATAAACTGAAATATAGCGATTTTATTTATCCTCCTCAAGTTTTTATATGAAAAAAGGATATTATGTCGTGATGAGTGGATATCATTTTCTAATGAAATTAAAGAGAGATTAACAAGTCGGCCTTGTGCCATTCAGAATCTCATTTTAATTGATTTGAGCTAAAAAAAATGATCTTGCGACTAATGATGATCATGCTACGTCACCAAGTAACAGATTTAAGCGATGACACTCACTAGGCATAAAAAATGCTCTCCAATTTATTTGTAATATTTGAGCTTGAACCCCTTTATTAACATCTTCTCTTATTTAATATATTATCGAACTTTGTCGACAATTTTTTTTTAACCTCCAATCCCAATTATTTAGATAATGATAAAAATGCTTCTGACATAGCCTAGGCCAGTATTGGAATCGATTTTTAGAGAGCCAACAAATCCATTTATTTTAACAGAGTTTTTATTTAATAAGTATCGTATTACCATACAGTTAATTGTTTCCAGTGGCAATATTACGGATAAATATATTGCACCTTTAATTACCATAAACAATTATAAATATTTTACGATGTTAATAATTTCATTTTGAATTCGATTTCTAGGGTAATTATTATGAAAACATTATTCATAATTTGACGAATGTGGCCGAAATCAAATTTCAATAAAAAAATCAAATATCTTACCTAAAAAATAAATAAGTTTTTTTTAAACTAATATATGAATCAAATTTTTTGTTATAATTATAGATATGCAAAACTTATTTTCAAAATTCTATGCCTTTGCTTGTATATAGTATATGTATATCCAAAAAATTATTGAGTTATTTCAGGGTTACGAGGCGGTTGTCCCGTTTGCCCCACCCCGTCTGCACGACTTTGGCCAAAATCATGAGTTAACCGTTTTTAAAATTTGGCCAAATCGAGCTGTCTAACAACACTCCGAATGGGACTAGTTAGATATTTTAAAATTGCAGATAATATAACAAAAAATAGAGTAAAATTTTAAACTATTTTTTTAAACATTACAACAAATAAAT